GGTCTTTTTCATCTTTTGATATGATACATACTGACGCTAATTCTTCAATTAGGTTCATTTGTGGAGACCCTGCCGTTCAATCTAACATAGTTGGAGCTGTTAATATTTCTACCGGATGGACTTTTAACACTGCAACCGCTGATGTAATGGGTAATTTATTTGCTGATGATGTTTATGTTAAAACCGGTGGAGCATTAAGAAGTAATCATATAGCGCCTAATGGTGGAACATTAGTAACCGTTGATACCAATTTAGCAGTTCAAAACGCATATTTAGCAACTAATACCATTCAATCATTCGATTTAACAACGGATTCATTTTTGAATAATATTTCAATGACTACTGGAACAGATATATGAATGGGAACAAGTGAAATATCAACCTATCACGACGGAACTAACTTGTCTTCAATTGATGTAATACTCAGAACAACCAACACTGCGTTTAGAGTGGCAGATAGTTCAACTACACCTTCAGTTTTACTATCTATTGATGAGACATTTGGAACCACCGTTAATACTGGGAGTTTTACAAATAATGCTTCATCAACTTTTAATGAACATGTAACAGTTGCTGGAACGAAAAAATGTTATGTAATACACTTGAACCATCAACAGGAACTAATATAGATTTAACAGTAACGACAGTAACCATTAACGGAACATTCGTTGATTCAAGTGACTCTCGGTTGAAATATGACATAGACAATGTCAAATCTAACTATGAATATTATTGAGAAATTCGAGCCGAAGAAGTTTAAGAGACACGATAGAAACGATGGCGGTAAAACTCATATAGGATATATCGCAAACGAAGTATTAAAAGCAATCCCGAAAGAATTTGAACATGTTGTGAGTAAAGATAGAGAATATTTAGGACTATTTTTTTTAGTTTTACCCGTGCTAGTTCATAAAGCAGTATTAGAATTAAATGATAAAGTTGATAAACTTGAAAAAGAAATTGAGGAGTTTAAAAATAAATCTAAATAAATAAATACTTAATTAATATATATATATATATGGACATTGACAGGAAAGTTAAAATAAAAGCATTATTTAAAAAAGTAGTATGAGAGAAAACCATGTTATTGTGGTTGTAAAATTACTAAATTAAATAAGCATGAATTTACATTAGATAAATGTAATAATAAAGAATGTAATTTTAATCATTCTAAATTTGATGAATATATTCAAGAATTAAAAGAAGAGAGAAGAGAAGAGAGAAACAACAGACTAATAGATAAGTATGGTAAGGTATTAACTCCTGTTGTTTGGGGATTGTTATGGCCTAGTTTAATTCCTTTGACTATTTATTATTATATTATAATCTAATTAATGTTATATAATGGGTAATTCAAATAGTAATGTTGAAACTTCAAGTATTGATAACATCAATGATATTGATGTAGAACAATTAGATTTAAGTAATATTGATAAATTACAGTTGAAAGCAATTAAGCAAATGAGTGAAAGATTAGAACAACTTGAGAAAATGAAATGTGACAAATACATATATAAATTACCAGCGTTGAATTTATGTAGTTATAGTTTATTCTGAATTAATAACATTAAGCCATAGGCTTAATGCTTTTTTTAATATATATGATTAAACATCACTAATAAAACTTTGTCTATCATCATTGATGACTTTAATAGGTATTTTTTTCAAACGTAATGAACTAAAATCATCAACATTGTCTATAAATGAAAGTGTATTATTATTAATATTTTTATTCATAAAATAATAAATATCAAGTACATTATTTGATGTTAAAATACAATTATCAACAGGACACAAACTTTCAATTGAACTAGTATTAATAAACATAACATAATCAATTGATAATTTTAATGGTTTATGTTTTTGATGTAATTTATCTAACTCACTTAAATTAAAAATATATGATATTCCATTATTAATAATATTGATATTATCAATTACAAAACATTGCATATTAATTACTATAATTTTTATTAATAGTTTTTTTTTTGTATTTTTAAGAATCTAACATCACCTAAATTATAAGATAATACAAGGTTTTTAATGTCTAATGGCACACCATAAAATATCATATAATATTAGTATATGTATTTATTTAATTAGTAATTTTCAAATATTGTGAACACTTTTTCATAAACATTTTATCTGGGTTCTTTTCTAAAAGGTTAATATATAAAAAACTATGTGGTTCGTCAGTGGCGGTCTCATATATTTTATAGATTAGTTTCTTGCTTTCGTGTAAATTATCGCTTCTAACAATTGCTGATAATTCAGCTTGTAATATTTCTATCTCTTTGAAGTTTCTAACTTTATAATAAAACAAATGACTTATATTTACCCTAATATTTGGTGGCACGGTTGATGATTTTTGAAGACTTACAGGTGTTGATATTCCACTATGACGACCTCTACAGAATAAAGAATTTGACAATTTGTTATTTCTTGTTATTGCTGGATTATCAGATACATCATCCAATATAACTAATATATTAAATAACTTCTTCATTCCTTGTTTTTTCTGGTATTCAATGATTTATTTTGAGTTTCTATAACTCTTTCTAAATCTTCAACATTGAACTCATCCCACCAACACGGTTCTTTATCAGTATCTACTTTTAAACCTTCTTTAATGTATTTCTTCACTGGCAACCAAATACTATCTAAATTTACTGATGGCGACCAGATAAAAAATTATTTCAAATGCTCCTCTATAAATATCAACTATCATTGATACAAGTAAAGTTGATTTTCCACTTCCAGATGGTCCGACAATCATCGCTCTCATCGGTAATTTAGGGACAACCTCGTGCTTACTTTGCTTAAAGTCATATTTGATTTCATCAATTGGTTTTACATCAGGCATAATAAAAGTAACATTAAAGACATTTAGAAAATCATTTAATATATTTTTTTGTATGAAAGCATTGCTATGATATGAATGGGGTCTATCGTGGTAGAACAGGCTCTTTCATCAACTTCAATCATAAGAATTGAGACTAATTAGTTTGAATTAGTTTGAACCTCGCTTGTGTTTTCCAGTGCAAAGAAAACTCCATTGTTGTGCCCTCCGAATATTCTACCATGCATGAAATAATAAGTTCAATATTATTTAATATGGATAGGCGTTATTCAGATTATATTGATATAATGATATAATAGATGAAGTAGAGAATATAGAACAAGTTGTTATAACTGATGGTAAATGTAAGAAAGTATGCTTTTATACATTAGAATTAATTAAGTTAGGAATACAATATATCAAAATGAACATGTAAATATTAATATAAATGGGAAGAAAGAAAAGCAAACATAATAAGACAAAACCAGTTGTTTCTTCAACTGATGAAGAAAAAGAAGAAATTGTTAAAGAAACATCAGTTATTGAGTTTGCTTGTCCGATGTGTAAAAAGATGTTAGAAATGAAGAATGAATTAGAAATACAAAAGAAAGGAAATTGTAAATGTTCGTGTGTTCCAACAAGTTTCAAAATAACTAAAAATGATAATAAAATGAATATTGATAAAACTAAATACAGTATAAATCTGGAAACGGATGTTCATAATATTGCTATCAAATGGGGAAGGCATGCATCACCATCCGATAATGGTGATAACGAAACTCAGGAAACTATACGTGAAATGATGAAAAATTAGTATTTAAAGAGTAGATTCAACATAATTGCAACATTTTGTTTTAAAAGTTTAGTTTTATAATGAAGTATATATTTACATGGATGAATGATTAGACAATATTGTTAAAAAAAACTGAACAAGGTTTTAGAACAGAATAATAATATTTTAGAACTCTTACAAACAATGGAAAAGAAGAAACCATTAACACACAGTCATCAAAGTAAAGAAGTAGATAGAACCAGTGGTGAATATAAAAATAAAAGAAATATTTATTTAAACAAACCTAATAACAAAGAAATTAAAGAACCGAAGTCCTCCACTATGACATTTTATCAAATTGACTATGATAAAGATACAGGGGTTTATTCATAGAGAATTTTGTCTAAATATCTTTAATAATGAACTTATTAGAGATGTTTAGCGGAACAGGCAGTGTTGGAACAGTTGCAAAAGCAATGGGTTTCAATGTTATTTCATTGGATTTGAACAATGCTGATATAAATACTGATATTTTGAAATGGGATTATAAATAATTTGATAGGAACCATTTTGATTTTGTGTGGGCATCTCCACCATGCACTGAATACAGCAAAGCAAAAACAACAGGGGTCAGGAAAATAGACCATGCAAATGCTATTGTTTTGAGAACCCTTGAAATCATTGACTATTTCAACCCCGAATACTGGTTTCTTGAGAACCCTCAAACTGGCCTTTTGAAGGAACAGGAGTTCATGAAAGGACTACCTTTTTATGATGTGATTATTGTAAATATGGAATGCCCTATAGGAAAAGAACCCGTATATGGACAAACCTAACAACATGGAAACCCCGACCATTGTGTAAAAGGGATTGTGGGAATGTTAGGAATGGGAAACATCTTGAAACAGCTCAAAGACTACCCAGTGGAACCAAGGAACAGTGGGGGGACAACTACATCAAACACAAACACGAAGACCTTTACCGAATACCCCAAAATCTTATTAGTGATATTTTAATGAGTATTTGAAGGGAACCCCACAAGCCACCCAATGAGGCTCCGGAGCGCGAACTCGGACGTCGTACCTGCGCAGCGGTGGATAGAGAGGGAAAGAGAGAGAGAGAGAGAGAGAAATAAACACAGAGGTCAGCCTTGACAGTCAGTGGTGAGCACACTCATTTTTCAATCGCAAAGCGTGTTTGAAAGGTTTGTAGGCTTCTGACGTTCTGCCAGTCCATTTTGGAAAATGGAGTAGTCCATTTTGGGAAATGGGGTAGGCCATTTTGGGAAATGGAGTAGTCCATTTTGGGAAATGGGGTAGTCCATTTTGGGAAATGGAGTAGTCCATTTTGGGAAATGAAAACGACTGCCACACCTTCTCAAAACGGATTTCAGCCACTGGTGTCCATGGCATGAGGGTATGCCGAACTTGACGACATTTGCCACTCATTGAATGTAATGACCTTGTCCAGTTCTTTTTTGAACTGGGTGAAATTGAAGGCACTGTCAGCCTCACATGTCCGAGCCCAACCCCACTCAACGACCGACTTTGCAATGTCAAGGACTTTCTTGTTGTCATCCGTGGTCTTTGACAACTTCACCAGCACATCCCCAAGGAAAAGATGAGCCGCGTTCCTAAACTTTGTCTCGCCTGATGACTGGAAAACAAGGCTGATTTCCTTGAGGTTCTCCAGATTCTTAGACTTGAGCCATGACTTGAAAGTAGCCACCGGTTCGCCATGAACCTGAGACTGGAAGAGGGTGATAATCTTTTCGGCCTCACCAAGGCCATTGGAAGGCGTAATCTTCTTCAGCTCGTTCTGGGCGGTCTCACACTGAACCTTCAAGATGTTTGCCTTCTTGGTTTTCTGTGCAGGTGTCATCTTTGCACCTCCAAGTCGGAGCATCAAGACTACCGAAGTCAAGCCCTCATGGACAATGTTGTCGTCTTTCAGAGCGGAGTGTCCGTCATGGAGGTAGAACTCTTGGCTTGTCAAAGCGGGCTCATCGCTTTTGCTGGTCAAGTAGTCAATGTGCTTGACAATCTCCATCTTGAGGTCTTCCGTAGTGCTGATGTCCTTGTCGGCCTTGATGTTAAACAGGTGACGGTCATTCTTCATGGCATACACCGAGATTTCCATAGGGCACTTAAAGAAGTCCGAATCATCCTGAGTGTAATACAAGAAATCCTCTGGGCTCATGTTGTCAAACAAGGCGAGTGGAATGTCCTTGTCGTCGTTCTTGTCACTGTCCTTCTCGCTGTCCTTCTCGCTGTCCTTGTCGCTGTCCTTCTCGCTGCCCTTGTGGCTGCCCTTGTCGCTGTCCTTGTGGCTGTCCTTGTCGCTGTCCTTGTCGCTGTCCTTGTCGCTGTCCTTCTCGCTGTCCTTGTGGCTGTCCTTGTCGCTGTCCTTGTCGTTGTCCTTCTCATTGTCCTCGTTGTCCTTGTTCAAAATCATCACATTCTCACTCTCCATGAAGTTGGTATCAATTTCATAGATGCCCTCTGCTGTCACAACATGTGGGATGCCCGGCTCATAAGCTATCAAGTAACCCTTGGTCACTGTAGGCTTGGAGTACTTCTGGGAGTAGGCGATAGTTCGCAACCCATCCTCCTTGATGTTCTCCCGCTCCACCTTCACACTGTCCTTCTCCGTGTCAAGCGAAGATGTAGCCAAAGGAGTGGTCAAACTGGTTGAAGCCGAAGCCCTTGAAGAAGCCCTTCGTTTAATCGTCTCCCAGTGCTCCATTAAAGCATCAACATAGCTGTCCTTTGTCATGCGAACAGAGCGACCACCCCGTCCTGTGGCTGTAAGCCTACATCCCAAGTTGGTCATTGTGAGTTTGATGTTGTCAATGGTCATCTTTTTGAGGTAGGCTTTCAACTCTTCGTTGTTGTCCGTGACATCGTCCGCACCATTGATGCGACCCTCACTCAAAGTCAGGACAGAACCGCTCCCCACCGCTAGTGCCTTCAACTCCTCAACAGCGCCTGTCTGGCTGACAAACACCAAAGAAGCCGACATGACAGCAAGCAATGCGGAAGCGTGCGAGTGTCTTGAACTCTGAGAAAGGCTGAGGTGTCAATGTCTGTCACTCAACTGTTGAAAACTGTTGAGACAATCAACGCAAAAGAAACCCACTCATCCCGACACAATCTGAATGGGCGCACGAAGTAGATGCTGATGAGGTAGAAGACAAAGCCGTGGTGACGTTGGGTAAGGGATGTTTGCTTAATTTGCTTGTCTCTTTCAAAGTACGTTGTTTGAACTTGGTAGCTCTTTTGTTTTTTTCGTGCTTTGGCTGTTTGTATTTATTTTGTTTGATACTCTTCTTTTTTTATTGTTATGCTGCTTTGAAATTTGCTAGTGTGTGTGTGTGTGTTTGAGTTTGTGTTCTTTGATGGTTTTTAGTTTTGCTGTTTTGTTGGTATGCTTGTTTGAATTATTTAATGTTGTATGCTGTGATGTTATTTTTTGTTTTTTGGTTGTTCTTATTTATTTTGTTTGCTTGTTGTTCTTATTTTTGTTTGCTATTTGTTGTGTTGCTGTTAGACAAAACTAGTAAATAGGACAATTCCTTGAATTGTCCTTTTACTATTTTTTGGGTGGGTGGGTGGGTGGGTGGGTGGGTGGGTGGGTGGGTGGGTGGGTGGGTGGGTGGGTGGGTGGGTGGGTGGGTGGGTGGGTGGGTGGGTGGGTGGGTGGGTGGGTGGGTCTGTGGGTTGGGTGGGTGGGGTTTGCTTTTGAGGTTCAATTTTTTGGTCGGTTTTCCAAGGGAAGGCAACATGTTTCTTTCTCCGGGTTGCTTCATGTCATTTGACGACATACCCGTACTCGTTTGACGCTGGGCTTGACTCAGCTCAATGGCCAGCCAGCTTTTGTCATTGTGTTGAGCGCTTGTGAACTGGGGCAGACGGCTGGCTGGCCGAGTTTTGAGGTGAGACTTGGCTCTTGGAGTTATGTACATTTTTGTGCCAGCTTTAGAGGATCCCCTTGAGGTTTTTGGATCCTAGGAACCTTGCCCATGAGTTCTTGGTGTGGATGGGGGCGCAGAACAGGGAACTTCAAACCCAAAGCCAAGGTCTCGTGGTGCCGGTGATCGGGGCGAAGGGCTCTGCAGCCATCGCCAAGGCGAGCATGTGTTTTTTCCTCTGAGGGCGCAACACCCGGCGATTTGGAGGGTAGGAAGGGAAACTCCCAACCGTGTTTTGGATGCGGATACTCGCCGTTTCGATTCTTTGCATGGTTCTGGGTAGACCACTTTGATGCCGGGGTTTGATTGTGACTCGCGTGAAGTTCGTCCCGTGCGGAAGGGAGCGCGCTTGGATTTTGAATGTTGTGGAGAAGGAAAGGACATGGGGCAACACTTTGTCCCGAAGGCATGGCAAAGTGTTCCGGAAGACCGCCTGCTTCTTGCAGAGAGAGAGAGAGAGAGAGAGAGAGAGAGCGAGCCAGAGAGCAGAGCGACAAAAATAGATCAGACTCACGGAGCGACACAGATAGAAATATAGATAGCACAGAAGACTCGATTTGCTCAATGCACAGAGAGACAGCCCATAGAGCGACATGTCAGAAAACACACAGAAATTGTGCAAAGAGCAGCGATCTTGCCTTGTGCTTAGGCTTACCGAACACAGAGCTTTTACTTTGTGATTGAACATGAGACAGCCCGTTGAGATGTCACAGAGAGTTGCACGAGACTTTACCTTGTAACTACACGTGAGATATCACGTGAGGCGGAGCAGAGCTATGGAGCCAGAATCACAAGTAGTCGGGGCAGTGTGGCAGGACCCAACCCGCTCAAAGAAATCGCCCCACTCTGTGGGAATCGGCGTGGTCGCTGTGCAATTACACGAGGGTTTTGCAACTTGTTGTGGTTTCCGCGCGGCCTCTGTGTGGGATCGGCGTGGTTGATGTGCAAAAGCCCGGCTATTTTTCTACTTGTTGTTGTCCACAGATGAGTCGTCAGAAATTGCTTCGTTGTTTGTGAGAAGCTTGTGCAGATAAACTTGCATCGATGACTTGCTCAGACGCACTTGCGCAGGGAGGACTTGCTGCAGGAAAACCCGGACAGAGAAACTTGCGCAGAGAATTCGAGCAGAGAATTCAAGCAGAGAAGCTTGCAAGGAGAACTTATGCAAGGAATCTTCCGCACATAGTTTGTGCGGAAAGCTTGCCGACAGACACTTGCACAAAGAACATTGCGCAGAGTGCGCAAAGAAACGGCGCAGAGAAATCCTGGCGACGATCATGCCATGTTGTGTTTTGCGGCACCCACGTGCTCTTGTCTTAAGCTTGGCGGGTTTATGCTTCGGAAAAAACAAACAAACCGGCCTTGCGTGGTCAAATGCTTTCGGGCCACTCTAGTTGTGTTTTGAAAAAGCGGTTTCCAACTCTCAGGCAGATTGGACGTTTGCTGCATGAGCTGCAACAGGGACATGGGCCTCAACGTGCATCTTGCTTGTGGATCATTGCGGGAGATGTGGCTTGGCAGTTTCGCTTCAAACCAAACCCTGTTTGAAGTGATATACTAGTCATGCATATGGCCCACTGCACCAGAAAACGTTGTCTGCCACAACGGTTAGACTGCGTTCTGCAAGCAAGCTTGTCGTGAAGACATCTTGGCAAGAGCAGGAGTGTTTGAGCGTCAGCCTCCCCCCCCGCGTAATCCTTGTGAAGCTGCGAACATCACGGGCCGTGATTCTCCATTTGCTTGCAGGCTGCGTACCAATTGCGGACGAACGAGGCACGCTTGTCCGAGTTGCGCGTCAGGGGACATTTCAGCCAAAGCTGCTCCGTGGGCGCCAACTGTGAAGCGGTCAACTCAATAGGTGATAGTCAGTTGAGTCACTTGCTAACTTCACCAACCCAGACAATTGGAGGGTAAGGGACAATCCCAGCCAGAAACGGTTGCGGATATCCACCTTTTTAATCCTTTGCATGGTTCTGGGCTCACTGTTTTTGTACCAGGTTTGATTATGACTCAGTTTTTCGTTGCGTCCTGGTTTGCGTCTTTTGAGGCGATGGCTTCGCGTGTCGGATTCTCTTGAGCGGGTTGCCTACGCTAGGCGTTGGCTTTTGGCAGTGACTCCTACTGAAACCAGCGCGCTAAGCACTCACAAAGGCATGGAAGAAAAATGCTGAATAGCTGAGATATGCCCAGGGTGTGGAACTCAGCATTTGAAGGGAGCAACACTGCCACAAGCCGTGAGTGCCATGCTATGCAAAATGATTAACGCTGGCAGCAGTTTTGCTCTACCTGTATCATGTGCGTGCCCTGCCCCGTTGAAGTCATTGATGTTGCAGCTGCGCATTTTTGCTCTCGAGCCACATCCGATCAGAAGCATCCGTACTGCGGCTTGCTCTCCACATGCGATCAGAGGTTTCGCCCCGTTCAGCCTCACCGAACCTGGCCAGCGGATGTGTCTTTTCCGTCAGGCACGGCGCTTCGTGCTGGCGTTCACCGGGGTGATGGCTGCCCAGGCACCGGGGGTCAAGAGCGAACCCATGGAGTTCGGCGAATTCGGTGTGGGCTTCTCTCCAAATGGGTATGGATCAAAATTCAACCACCAGGGCACCGCAGGTCTCAGTCCTTGGTTCCATTTGCCAGAGTTCCCAAAATGGGTGCCTATTTTTGATCCACAGCCAAATGTCATCCCAAAATGAGTGGTTTCCTCACAACCGCACCCATGGTCATGGCAAGGGGTTTCTCTCCCAACGTTCCTTGGGACCTTTCTTCCCCAAGAGAAACCAACTATAGGCAATTTAACAAGAGACACCCATGTTCGGCTCGTGTATTTTGCGCAAGCTGATCGACGAGCAACGCATGATTTCTGAAGGTGTCAGGTGAGAGCCTCTGCCCAAAGGACCAGACAATCGCCAATATGACCTGCTATCGAAAAGCACACCTGGAGATGGGTCTCTATTTTTAAGGACACCCTTCCTGGTTGGTTCTTGCGAGGCAACTGGGGTGTGTCTTTTTTTGTGGACCCTCCCAACTGGTGGGTTTTCCTTTTTCCTTTTAAAACCAGCCCCAAAAGGGCACCAACTCCAAAAAGACAAGACACCACCAAGTGAAAGGAAGGCAACGAAAAGTCCTAATTTTTCTGGGGGGGGGGCTTCCACATCCGGAAAAAAACACCTTCTTGGTTGGCTTTTGCGAGGCAACGGAAAACAACATCTATTTTTTTCTTGGGGGGGGGCTTCCGACTGCTAAAAAAGAGAAGACGACGCGCCGCCCATCAAAACAAGACACCCCAAAAGGTAAGGCCGAAATCCATTCTGGGGGTCCCGACTCCAAGAAGACGAGCCCAGAAAAGCCGTCCCTTGAGGTGCCGAAGCTGGAGCCGCCGGTGCTGGCGGAGCTGTCGCAGGAGCCGGAACCCTGGGATCGATCGGGGGCGTTTGGCTTGGGGCCCCAGGTGATTTGCTTTTTTCTCTCTTCTTTCTTTTTTCTCCGTCCTTTTTTGTTTTTCTCTCTTTTTTCTCTCCGTCCTTTCTTGTTTTTGTTTTTCTCTTTTTTCCTTCTTCGTTTTTTTGCCGCGACATCCTTGGGTTTGGATGGCAAAAAGCAGGAATTGGCATGGTCCATATCTTTTTTGAAACAGGTTTGGGGCACGGAGGTGTTTGAGGACCGCGCATTGCCTTTTCCTGCTCTTTGGCGGAGCGTGGTCGCGTCAGGCAATCGCGGAGGCCGTGAAGATTGTTCTTGGTCAGCCGGGTCGCATGTGGCATGTCGATGCCATCACCCTGATGGCGGCAAGCAGCAATGTTGGGTTGCCGTGCCTGAAATCAGAGCTGGTTTTTCAGGGCTCCTTAAAATACATGTTGCCCATTTGAAACATGTTGCTTTTTCAACACCAAAATAAAGGGAAACCACAATTTACAAGGCAATGTTCAGGTGTATAATGTAAGGATCCCTGTTTTTCCAGAGGGCTGATGGAGCGATGTGCCAAGTCACCGGGATCGTTGGTGCGTGGCTACATCCAGCAGGCGTTGCATGGCGTGGTTGCAGCAATGTGCCAGGATACAGCGTCAACCTATTTGGGTGGCTCGTCTTTTTTAGGGGAGCCTCCAAAATGGTGGTTTTGCTTTTGGTTCCTTATTAAAACCCACCAAAGACGGGTACCAACTCAAATAGTTGTGTCTGGCCTCGAAATTGCTACTACGCTAGTTTGCGCAGTGAAACACATGTTCTGTCTGCTTCCCTTGCGCGTGGCCAGTCTGGGTTTGCTCAAAGCCTGAAAGCCGCAGTTGGCGTACGCAGTTCTGAGTGTCAGGTCCAGATCTGGTCAGATGGGTCCGGTCAATGCTTCGGGCAAGCGGGTCGCGGATGGCTGGAGTGGGGTGAAGTTGTGCCCATCGATCTAGGGGTTGATTCCCCATTCTTTTCAACCATCGTTCTTTTTAAAAACCGGATCCATTTCCTGGGTTTGTGGAGGCTTTCTAGAAAGAGGATCCCTGGGTTCAGAATGGGCAAGGTATCCCTAGAATCGAGCCATGGCCATTAACCGAACCGAGCCACTGAGCCAAATTCGCAAGGAGCTGCAGCGATTCCAGGTGGGCGACCAGCAGCTTTGGGAGGCCGGGGGGCAATCAGGGTCGTTCCTTGGAAGCGGGAAAGGAAGCACCGTGTGGGCGTCCCCTTGATTTTCACTGTGTATGGGGGAGGTGGTCTCCCAAAGCTGTTGCATCTTGTTTCCGGACGGAGCAACCCCCTCCCTTGCAGCCGATGACACCGCCGCCGCCGCCCTCACCGCCACCGCCAACGCCACTATTCGTCACCAACAGCTATAACCGCTAGTACCGTACTGTGGATGGACGAAATCCCGCACCAGCTAAGAAACCCTGGAACGAATGATTCCCCTGTAAATACCAACGAACCATGGCTTCACCATGGTTTCAAAGTGGTGCGAAATGGATTTCGCACCCATCAGTGCCACCCTCACACCTTGGTCGAAGGCGGCCATGGAGAAGGCCTTTGGCTTTTGGGGTGTTTGGGACGTTTGGCCATGGGAGCCATGGTGATAGTTTTTTTCGTTGGCCGGTGAAGCGCGAATCCCACGGCGAGACGGCGAGCACTCGTAGCATCGCCATCACCAGGCGCTGGTCCAGGACACGGCACGGAGGCCGCAGGAGTTGAAGCCGCTGGACATCGCGGCTCGGCTTCGGGGAGTGGTCCGCCGTGAGCCACGTGCTCAACACCCTTTGGCTACTTGATGCTATTCGGCGGGCATATAAATCCAACCATGATGCCCAAACCGCCCCTGCAAATTTCTGAAGCTTCATGCCCTTTGGCTTTTCGGAGTTGGAAAACCTGAGCCACAATCAAAACCCGGGTAGATGAAGGTTAGGAAGGGGCAGTCCCAGCCAGACATAGTTGCGGATATCCGCCTTCATATTTCTTGGAGTCTGGGACTACGGCCATTTTAATACCGGGTTTTGATTGTGACTCAAGTCCTGTGGTTTGGTTTCGAGGCTTCCCTCTTCAACCCCCTAAAAGAGGGGTTGTTCAGCTCCAAAAGACAAGGACCGAACCATTCTCGGCATGAATTTTGATGCGACCATTTGGTGGGCATCATTTACAAGGTGATCCATGTTCGCCTATCACGTTCGTTTGAAGGGGTTCCCATTGAAATCCTAGAGTCACCAGCCAGATGAACGATGAGCCAGGTCTTTCATTCGCGCTACCCTTCAGGACATCAGCGAACTGTGCAGACGGCGAAGTAGGCTCTCCCAAAACTGACAAAGTGACGAGTAATCCTTTGTGGGAACCAAGGCATAGGGTCGGGGGCTCATATCATTCGTTCATTGGTGGCTAAAAGAGAACTCTTCCCTTCCAGCAAATCCAAAAGCAGGTGACCAATTTTACCCAACCCAACCAAGTGTTTTTTTGTTTTTACACATTAGTCTGCCAAAACATGTGATCTAAATCTACTCCACCCAACCACATTTTTTTCATTGGTCTACCAAAAACAGGTGATCACCTACCAAAAACAGGCGATCTAAATTTTCCCAACCCAACCACGTTTTTCTTTTTTAGGTGTACCAAAAACAGGTGATCTAAATTTACCCGTCCCAACCATGCTTTTTTTCTCTGTTTTCTTGTTGTTATTGTTTGGCACCTGTTTTACCCAACCCCCGCTTTTTTCTTCTCCATGGTCTACCAAAAACAGGACAGGTGATAAAGATTTACTCGACCTACAAGGGGTTTTCCTTTTTTTTGGCACGGCCTAGGTCTACCTCCTGGACGCTTTCCGGCGGGCGTTGAGTTTCGGAGTCCGCCCCGCGCCGGCCCTGGAGGCCACGTGCCGGGGGCCCAAAGCGCGAAGCGGCGGTGGGGTTTTCGGGTTGGACCGGAGGCGGGGGTTAGCCGTTTGCTGGGGTGGATGTATGAAAACGTGGGATTCCGCGGTTTGGAGAGGCCTGGGGCGTGTTTCTTTTTTTGGCAGTCATGGCTGAGTTTGGCGGCATGGGGTCTGCTGCTGAGTGCAAGCATGTCAAGCACTGAAGTGTCAATTGAGAATTGCCAAAAGAAGTGAAGTTGGGTTTGATTTATGGGAGCACCAAGCAATTGAAGGAGTCCACTTCCACTTAGGATGGGCATGTTTCTAGTTTTCTGCCTGTTGCAAACCTTCTGGCAGACTCGGAATGAGGCCAGCGCATCATGGAGTGCTATCAGGAGGGTTGGGGTCAGGGGTCAAGTGTTCGCGTGCTGCCGAGAAGCGTCACTCAATATGGGTGGCCCGTCATTTTTTTTGGAGTTGGTACTCTTGTTGGCTCCCAATGAAATTTTGCACACTGATGAGAAATGGTTTGGTTTGTATGTGGAGAACAAAGTGCCAGAGACGTGTGTTTTTTCCTGAGGCGTAAGTTCGCCAGGCCAAGTCGAATCACGAGACTCCCGGACTCCACCCAACTGGCTATTTGGCAGACCTATAAATCCAACCATGATGCCCAAAGCTGCAAATCCCTCGCGCCCTTTGGTTTTTCGGAGTTGGAGAACCTGAGCCACAATCAAAACTCGGGTAGATGAAGGTTAGGAAGGGGCAGTCCCAGCCAGACATAGTTGCGGCCGCCTTCTCAATTCTTGAAGCATTGTTCTGGGATTACGGCCATTTTAATACCCTTCCTCAGAATTAGCTCCCCCCTTTTTTGTTCTTCTTCTTTTTCTTTTTTGGGGGTCCCTTTGTTTTCCACTAACCAGGAGAAAAACAAATGCTGGGGTCCCAGTTCCAGCCCGGGTTTTGATTGTGACTCACCCACGTCTGACTTCCCGAGCACAGCCCGGCTCGCCTGCGAGGACTTCAACTCGAAGCAGTGCACTGGCGCCCTGGGCTCCGTGCCGGGCGCCGAAGAGGCGATTTTGTTTATGCCGAAGAGATATTCTTTTTCTGTTTTTCTTTTTTTGCCGGACGTGTGGCTGTTGTCAAAACCAATGGGATCCCATTTTGGTTGGTGACGGACATGTGGCTGTTGTTGTCAAAACCGTTTTGGTTGATCCCATTTCGGTTGGTGAGTTAGTTCACCCATTTTAGGTTTCCTATTTTAGTGGTTGGATTGGGATGTTCACTGTGGGGGTACGGGATTTTGACCCATGGCCGTGTGACATCGGACCCTCATGGGTACACAGGGATTTGGTTTCCTCCGGATTCCTTTCATGAATCTCAGACGGGTCTTGGTCATGTTTTGGAACCAGGGTCTGTGCGGGCGACTGCTGGTTGTGTGGCAAGAGTGGCTGGCCAGCTTGCAAACTTCACACATACAATGTTTGCTGCCTTCAGAGACAGATGAATCAACCTCCATCAAACATCAAACAGCTGTTTCATTTGTTTGCAACCCCTCACATGAATCAAACATCAAACGCAGTGATTATTGCCAGCCACCTGACTTGCATTCGACTGGCAGGAGGTCGGAGGTGAAGCGGAGCCAATTGGTTGGTTTCCTTCTGGGGGTGTCTTTGTTCGAGGGTGCCCTTCTTCAGGGGGTTTAAAGGGAAGCGCAAAGGAAACCTCGCCATTCGCAGGGTCCCCCAAAACAAGTCACGCTCTTCTGCTTTTTGGGAAGCTATGCCAACAACTACACAATGTGGGAACCCGGTCTTCGGCGCTGAGGTGCCGCCTGAGTGGGCACATCGATAGCTCCCAGCAGTACAAGGAGGGGAAGCGGAGGGTCAATGTTGAGAAACGCCCAAATAAGAGAATGCCCTAAACCTCCTACTTTGGGGCCTGGTGCGGTGTGGGCTTTTTTTTTTGGGGGGGTGGAAATGTGAACAAGCTGCAGTTCGGTTTCCCTTTGTCCAGTCAACATTAGAGCCTCCGGCTCAGTCCGCCGACATTGTCCTCTCCCTTTTCTCCTTCTTCCCCTTTCTCTTGTCTTCTCCACCGTGTGTTCTGTCGTCCTCTCTCCCTCCCTCTCCCCCAAGCCAAAGCGCACATTTTTCAGCCCCTTCCGTGCACTTCCCCTTCATTACCTCTGTATTGTCGCAGTACTACCCCTTCAAATCCCATGCGTTTCCCCTGGATGCCCCCTTCATTTCCTTTGCATTTCCCATCATGTCCTATCATTTCCTCGTCATGGCCCACTCAGGCCCTTCATTGTCCTGTCCTTTTCCCCTTGATTACATCTCCCTTGGTTTCAGTTCATTTCCCTTGCGCTGTCTTTCATGTCCCTGCGTTTCCCCTGCATTCCCCCTGCATTTCTTGTTCCTTTCCCCTTCATTTCGCTTTCATTTCCCCCCCGTGGGCGAACCAACAAAGCCCAGCGTAGCGCAGCGTGGGCTTGTGGAGTGTTTTGGTTTCCCAGTTCACTTGACGTCACACCACAGCACTTTGCTTCACTTCACGAAAATTGCATTCGCGCATCCCTTGGTAATCCCACTGAACCACGCACGGACACTGGACCGCCCTCTTTCCCCGTCATGTCCCTTTCAGTTCCCCTTCGTTTACCTTTCATGTTCCCTTGCTTTCCTCCCCTCCTTTCCCTGCACTTCCTTGCATTTCCCCTTCGCTCCCCGGTATTTTTCCGGGAAAAACAAAAAACACGGGTTAGCCAACATGTTCGCAAACATGCTGTCAAAGGCAGAGTTTTTCCAGATTTTCGGCAAAAGGAAGCAGAAAACCCGAACCAGCAAAGAGCCGGCAGGGGGATTCGAGCCTGGGACCCCTGTTTTGTGACACCGGCTCCCCAAAGACTACGTTTAGTGGAACATGACGTCGGGCGGAGGGGGGGGGGTTATCCTCTATCTTCTCTAAAGCTTTGTCCACTAGTCCAAATACAAGCAAAATCTTGCTTTCAAGGCCCCCCTGCATTTTTGGGCCTGACGTGTGCAGATTGGGACGGCTGATTCGCTGATCAAAGATTCCTCCCCAAAGTTTTTTGACCATCTCGGATCTTGGATGGCCTCAAACCAATGGTGGCCGAAAAAGAATCCTAAGTCCGATTGCGCTTCGCGAGGTGATGCACCTTCTGCTCGGCCAGTGGCTGGTCTGAGACTTGATCTTCGAAGGCTCAACCGACCGAATTGGGTGGTTCGGCTTTTTTTTGAGTTGGTACCTGCTGACACAGGGTTCCCCCAAGAGGAAATCATCTTCCGGGCCTCCCACATTTGCTACGTTGGTTGGAGGGAGGGCAGCCCCTGTTTCGAGTGGTTTTGAAGGGAAGCCACAGGAACACCGACCACCTGTTTTTTTTTTTTGGGGGGGGTGCCCTAAAGAAAGACACACACGAGTCTTGTCTTGGGAATGTTGACCCATCTAAGCAGAACCCGTCCGATTTTAACAGGGGGGTTGAGGAAATCCCTTCAAAAGTGGTGTGAAGCACGAAACAAGAATCGGAGTCTAAAAATCAAGGAGGGGTTCTACTTGCCAGGCTTCCCATAGATATATGCGTGTGTCCATTTTTGGAGTTGGAATCTTTTTTTGTGTTTTGCAGGGAGACCAAAAAGGAACCCTCAGACATTTGGCGCCATTTTGCTGGGTCCAATTCCTAAAAAACAGACAGACGCTTGGTGGAGTGGGGGAGCTTCGGCAGATCGAGCAGTCGGGAAACGTCGCGTCGCATGACCGAGGCTTCCCAGCCTGCGAAGTGGGAAACCACGCCCTCGAACCAGGCGGGCGTTGGATGTGCTTTTGGGTGCTGAAGGGATCCATCGGAAGCGTTCCGGCCATGTGGATTGACCCAATTTGTGGGCGTGGGGGACTTGACACAGCCATTTTGTTTTGTCCTGCGAGAATCTGCGTATCTCTTTTTGGGTGCAAAATCCGTTAGAAGGAGTGAAGAAGGTCTGAGGTGCCGCAGATGCCTCGAAGTGGTGATGAATCTTCACGGTCATGTAGCGCCCAAAAATGAAGGCAAGCGGAGATACTTCCCTGCAGATTGACAGGGAGCACGCAAACCACCCTTTACAAGGAATCTCCTTTTTGGCAGACCCTCCTTTTGGGTTTCGTCAATTTGCAGCAGAGCAATGTAGATGATGCCCAACATCCAAGAAGCTGTTCGGCCCCTACCGTTGAGGAAACATCGGAGACTTCGCGTGCAAATCGCAAACTAGGGCAGCAAGCGAACTGGGGTGTAGTGCGTGAAAAGTGGGAGTTGGACAGCATTCGTGTTGGCGTCCCTTCAAGTGCCTTGCACTCATGGCAAGTTCTGTGAGCCTCTAATGTTGCGATGAACTTGACCAGTGACTTTGAGCTGTGCTTGCACGTGTCACAGGCACAAACACACACACACGTCCAAGTGAACTTCAACAGATTTAGGGCCTGCTGTTCTGCTGTTGGAAACAATTGCTTGCTGGCCAAGACATTCCTGCCCAAAGTATGATCTCTGGAACGAGTTGCATGCGACATGGCACATCATTTATCATGTATGGAACGTTACATCCTTTGGGCCAATTCGTTCATGGTCAACCCACAAAGGCCCTCCCTCCATCTGCAGTTCCTTGCGGCTCACTCTCAAAGCCATCCAATAGGAACAACTCCCGCCCTTCGGAGAGGCCGACGAAAGGCTCGAGTTGGGGGAAAACACCCAATGAATCGCTTCCCTTCGGTTTTCCCTTTTGAAGCAACTTCAAAAAAAGGGTATCCTCAAAGACAAAAGGGGCTGCTTTTTTTAAAGGAATTCAAAAGGGGGTCCTCTCCACAAGAAGCTGACGCGCCCTTTTGTTACCACTTGCAAAAATCGAGGTGCCCCAAAACGTGGGTTGCCCGTTGCTTTTTACACCAACCCCAAAAAGGGTATGGAGGCACCAAACCCCAAAACAGCCCACCCACTTAGGTGATCTCCGTGGCGGTGTCGCTGAGCGGCCTCGGGGTGTTGAGCGACAGGAGTCGTTCGACTACCGAAAACTCGACGCTGGTCTTTGTTCCAGGCGAGGGGTTTCCCAATCGCCGTCCAACCGCGGGTCCAATCGCGGGCTTCGGCGATAAAACTTCGATTTGCAGCTTCCACCCCTTGCCGGCAAAAAAACAATCTGCCACAGAAATCGGAAGAGTTTTCGGACCCAGCCAATTCTTGAGATCTGTGGTAAAACTGCCAGGACCTTGCAAACGCCAACCTTTTGGGCCAAATTTGAGCGGCTCTGGTTGTAAAAATCGGACCGTGATGTTTTTCCGTGAAGGCTGAGCGAACCCTGCCAGCAGGGCTTGATGGATTTGTAAGGGGGCGGTTAGAGCTTGTTCAACAATCTGGATCACCTTGGTCCAGGCACGGAGCTAGGATCAAGGGAGGCGCAAGCCCGTCAGGGGTGTTTTGTTGGCGACAACCTGATTTGAGCAACACTGAAAAGATTAGTGGTCTATCGCTTGGGGAGGATGTGGCGCCACCCAATTTTACAATGTCGTTTTGGGAAACCCAGAGATTTTGTCTCGGGCTAATTTTTAGGTAGCGTGTTTGAATGGATCCAAGAGCTTGTGCTCATCAAAGATTGAGAGATGGGCACTTGCTTGTGCCAGCTGCAAACCATGCTTCCGGAAATAGGGAAGCCGATCTTGGGGTAGCTTGCATTTGTTTCGCATTTTGCAGGCCATAGAGAGGGGCACATTGATATTAATTTTTCGGGCCTTTAGTCGTACCGTTGTACCTGAGTGCTTCGTAGCAAAGGTCGCATTTCAGTTACAATGGGTATCCTTTTGAGGTCAGCTTGATCAAAAACAGATAACAATACCTAGGTCCCCCAGTAGTGCAAAGTGCCCTTTTACCCTTTTTTTGGGGAGGGTTCCCCTACTGAAATTGACGTCCTGAAAAAAGTTGGTACCCTTGTTCTAACCTCTATAAATAGTGGAGGACCTAGTGGTCCAAAATTCAACTAAGATCTCCGCAGGACAGAGACCTTCCTGGCTGCGGCGTCCAGCTGGGTCTCCCGGCTTGCCGTTTCCCCGTGCTCGTTAGCGCGACCACCGGGTCCAGATGGGGGCCTCCCTTCCGTCGCCTCATGGCTTCCTTCTTAGGCGTGATGACGTTTTGCCTGAGGGTAGGCTTTGCCATATTTTTCAAAGCGGCGACGGCCACTTTGCAGGAATTGAAATTGCAGCACCCGGGAGCCGCTGGGGAGCCCCAAAGCAAAAGCAAACTGCGAAGAAGTGAAGCTGGGTGGCTCCCAGCCATCCGGTTCCTTGGATCTTTTGAGCTCCATTTGAGCCGAATCGGGTTCAGTGGTAACCGTTCCCGTATTCTCAGTCCAAAGCGGCGACCTTTTCACCTTTTGGCTTTCTCATTTAAGGTTCCCATTGTTGGGTAATTAGTTCCAGGTCCTTGGGGCAACGAAGGAACAGTCCCAGAACGAATGGGTAATGGTGTTTGTTTTTCCAGAGGCCTTGTTTCTTGGTGGCGAAGCCAGCCATCCGGTTCCTTAGCCTTTTAGATCCTTTTAGTGTTTAGTGGTAGTTTCCGAATCTCACCCACTAAAAGTTCTCAACTTTTCGCGGGGATCAGAAATCGGGCAGCCCAGGTACATCCAGCTTCACAGGACTCAAGTTCAAACTTTTACCCGATCCATAGGTGTCGTTTTGATCGGTGAGTTTGCTTGAAAATAGATGGGCAAGCCACTGGCTTAGATCTTTGGTTTATTACCCATTTACCAGGGATACCTTTGGTAAAAAGCCTATGGGAAACCTATGGTTTAAAATAACAAAAAACTATGGGACACCTATGGTAGAAACCTATGAGAAACCTAGGTGGCTATTTTTCCAAAAGGCCACGTATGCGAAGATCCGAAAACCCGAACCCCCCTCGAGGCTGGGCATTGCGCTGGGGAGCGCCGGAGGGTGGTGCTTTGTCGGCAGAGGCGGGGCTGGCTTGGCGAGCCGAGCTGTTGACTTTCAGGTGGAAAGGGCAAAGGGGGAGGTCCCTTTTGTTCAAGGGGTTGATTCCCCATTCTTTTCAGCCATCGTTCTTTTCAACAATCAGCCATTTCTCCAGGTGTTTGGCGGTAAACAAAGAAGTCATGTGCTTCAAAGTAGTGTCTGGTGTTTTTTTTCCCGTTCTCACCGTTTGGCATGGGGTGCGACCAGGATTTGGTGGTGCTGCTCTGGTCTCTGAAGGAGATGACGCCCTTGGGGCGCGGCTTCTGAGAAACCGGGGTGGCGGGGGGGCGGAGGGTGGAGAGGGGATGTGGGGAGGGTTCCACCTTTGGATTACCCCAAGGTCGACTTCCCAGGGGTTCATTTCCCCAAAGGAGAAGGTAGGCGTGTAAGTCTTCCTTGGGGTAGCCAAAAAGTGACACTTTGGTGGGGAGTGGAGCGGAAGGGGCAGCTTGGCAGCAAGGTCTTGAGATCAGTTGGAAGACGCCGAGAGATGCTGCCGGGATTTGAGGGATTGGATCTTTGTGGTGGTTCTCCTTTGGAGCGGAGGTGTGCACGTCATGGGAAACAGCTGCGTGGGTGCTGGAGCTTGTCGAATGTTGGCGGGCTTGTGCGCCCTGTGCAAAACCAACACAGGGATCCCCAGTTGAAAGCAGGCCCGCATGTTCTGTCTGTTGAGCATGGACCCAGGATTACAGGTCGTCTGCAAGCTTGCCTGCATACGATCCAAAGGCAACAAGAGCTTCCTGGTGGCAGGGGAAATGCCTGCACTCCTTGCAGAGGCCACAGCCAAGAAGTTGAAACATGGAGAATGGCTTGGATCTGCCCCCATCAGCTTTTCCACCCATCGCCCGGTAGGCTGGCCAGATACCGGGAGCCCGCAGCTCAGTTGGCGCCAGCTGCTCCTCCTTGGAGGGCGTGTCGATGTTTTTGGAGGGGACCCCCATGTTTGGTAGTTTAAAGGGAAACACATCGGAGAACCGTTGCGCCATTTTGGGAGCCAACCTAAAAAAGAGAGGTGCCCAATTGAAGCTGTTGTGGGCAAAGAAAACAATGGACTTTGGAGCTTTCACCTCAAATTGTGGGAGAGGCACCGAAAGTCTAGGGGTTGATTTCCCATTCTTTTCAACCATCGTTCTTTGCAAAAACCAATCGGGTGGTATTTTAGAAAGAAGGATGCCTGGGTTCAGAATGGAAATGGACCCCCAAGATGGTGGTTTTCCTTTGGGCTTCCCTTGCGAACCGGAAAAAAAAGCAAAAAAAAGCAACAACAAGCAAAAAAAGGTGTACCAACTCTAGAACGGACGAGCCACCCAGATAGCCATGCTCCCTGTACCCCTCGAAAAAGGGCCAAGCTCCAGATGTTCAGCCCGCCCTGAGGTTGGTCCAGCTCTCCTTGGTCCGGATACGGGCGGCGGCGACCTACGAGGAGCGTGCGACACTTCAGTTGAAGCCCGAAGTGGGCGTGCTAAACTTTTTGCAGGAGAACGTGGTTCCTTTTCTTTGTTGCATTTTGCCAAGGGATGTTAGGACTTTAACTTTTTGCCAACTAATGGGTTTTCCAATAAACCGCTAAAAGCTAGGAAGCAACCGAGTTTTGATGTCCCTTTAAAACCAGCCAACAGGGGGGTTCCCTCAACCAATGCCACCAACTTTTTGGCCAGGGAACGGAACATTCTCTCCGCACTTTGTGCCAGGACTGGACACTGGTACGACAGGGGCAGGCAAGTCAGGGTTGAAAGACACGGGGTCCAAACTCAATCCTTAATCCCTGTGCCAGATTGTTACGTGGTTTCCCTTGTGGAGTGGGGGTGGGTGCGGCACTACGGACTACGGATTAGGGATTCCTCCACATTTGAACAACCCACTTGCCTTGAGCTGGTTGCTGGAACTGGAATGCCTGGACCTTGGTGCAAGGCAGGGCATTGAAGCTCAAAGGCTCGTAGGTCGGACGCCCTAAGTCTCCGTCTCCATGGCGTCGCTGCGATTCCTGGCCCAGGCTTCGAGAAGCATTGAGACCCTGGTGGCGCATTCGCCCAAGGCGCGCACTCCGAAGACGCCGACCAGCCCATTCAGTGCTTTGCGCCCGCTGAGTCCTGGCCCCGGGGGCCGTGGACTGAGCTTCTTCCCAGAGGAGAGGTGCCAGCGGAAGGCGATGCCGCGGGAGCGCGCAGAATCCAGCTTGCCCACTTTGTCGAATGCCACTCGCGGATTGAAGCGACGGGCCGGGAGCCCAACCAGCCCAGGCAGCCCGTGCAGTCCAACGGGTCGATGCAAGCGGATGGCCGCCCGCACTCGCGTGGCTGTGCTGGAGCGACAAGCCCGCCAGGCGGATCGCTGCGGACCGCTGCCGCGGGATGCGACCATGGGCCCCACGCTGCCCTCGTTGCTCGCGATGAGCCAAATGGCGTGCTTGAACCCGAGCGCGCCTATTGCGCCCATGGCGGCGAACCGGAACCATTGTGCCTCTCAAGCGGTGAGCTCCTATCACCGGCAGCAGGAGCGAAGGTCCAGCCGCGACATGGTGGACTTTGTTATCTGAGGCCTTGATTGCCCTTGACGTTGAAGACTCTGACCGTAGTTCGGCTTCGAATGCACAGCCTGATTGATCACATGTGCGGTGCTGGGAATGAGCAGCTGGCTTTGGATTCGGGATTCCCTTGAGGTACCATTCCCATCTATTCCCAGCACTCACACTGACTGCTGCATGTGCCTTTTCCCCGGGCACAGGGCGCATTGGGCGCCCAGAGCCAGGTGAAGCGCAGAGACGCTTCCATCTGGTTTCAAAGCCCAGACGCCTGTCGCAAATGGCCGTGGCCGCCGGCGATAGGGACAAAATGGATACTGTACCTTGTTCATTGGTTGATGTCGAGGGTCCCGAACCCTGAACAAGCAGACCCATTTCTGAACTGAAGACCACACACGCACAGACCCACCCGCCCGGCCCGCCCGCCAGCCCGCGTGCGCGCGCATACGCTATACGCATGCGTGCAAGGCACCCGCATACGCACACACGCTGGCGCATCACTTTTGCAAGGTCAGGTGCAGATTTCGTGGCAGGCGTACAGGTCGAGACAGTCGCAACACTGTCGCAACCTCAACCTCAGGTGCGGGTTTCAAATCGCAACTTTGAAGTACGAAAGTGGCACGTGGAGTACACTTCTCCAGCTCGAGCTCGACCATCACAACTTGTAAGCACGAAAGAGAAAGAGAAATTAGAGACAGAGAGAAAGAGAGAAAGAGACAAAGAGGCAAAGAGCGAAAGAGAGAAAGAGAAACTAGAGAAAAGAGAAAGAGGGAAAGAGGGAGGGAGAGAGAAAGAGAGAGAGAGAAGAGAAGGAGAAGGAGAAGGAGAAGGAGAAGGAGAAGGAGCCTGAGAAAGACAGAGAAAGAGAAAGAGAGAGATAACGATAAAGAGAAAGGCACAGAGAAAGAGAAATAGAGAGAGATCGAGAGAGAACGATACAGAGCGAGACAAAGAGAAAGAGAAGGAGAAAGAGAGAGAGAGAGAGAGAGAACGATACGGATAACGATAAAGAGAAACAGAAAGATAAAGAGAAAAAAGAGAAAACAAAGGAGAGAGAGAGAGAGAGAGAGAGAGAGAAAGAAAAAGCCAAAAAGAGAAAGAGAGCTATATTGTAGATTGTTGAAACTTCCGCCCACCTGCTTCGCCGGCTCTACTGGTACGTGTGCTGCGCGCATGTGCAAACTTTAGCCTGGTGGATTTCATTTTGGTTCCCCTGAGAAGCAATCCGCAATTCAAGAAGTAACACCTCACTGGGCGATCCCATTTTACCCCTCGACAGTTGACGTTGCAGAAAGCGTTTCTAGAACATACAAGGGGAAGCGCGATCAACAAGGGTTTGCCTGCTTTCTTGTACGTGTCCCCCCAAACTGGGTGGCTTCCTTTTAACCTTCCTTCGTTTCAAGCCAAAAAAAGGCGCCGCGAACCACATAAACGCCCATCCGTAGGTGTCCTTTTTGGTTGTTTTGCTAGAACAATATGTGGCCCTGGGTTACCTGGTGGTTGAATCATCTACCAGGAAAATCCATCTATTTCCCCTAATGTGCCCATCCCTTCTTGAGGCCTTGGAGGTCTTGCTGAGCGCAAAGCACGCTCTGGTGGAAGATGGCCAGGGGCCCCCAGACTTGTGGCTCGTCTTGTTTTTGGGTACCTCTCTTTTGGTGGTTTTAAAGGACCACTATTTAGGGGCGTCCCGTCAAAAAATAGCCCCCCAAGTGATGAGACATGCCTGTGGGGTCAAATACGCTGAGTCGGCCCTGTATAAGTTTCACGTGACAAAGTAGCAGGGGATTTGTGTTCGGGTGGGGAACTGGACCTGGGCTGGACCTGGACTGGCCTAGCCTTGGACATGGCTGCGTTGGACTGGATAAGCCTATGACGTCAATTCTTCTACCAATGGTGTGCAAGCAAGCGCACATAGGCAACGCACCTACTATGATGGCAAAATAACTATTTCTAAGCGCAACATACAAGCATTGTTATTCAGGCTTTACTATGTTCATAAAATGCTTGAAGTGAAGGAGTACTGGCGGACCCTGAGTTGTATGACTTTGGGCCAAGGCAGCGCCATGTTGCCTTTGAGATCACTTGGGCGGTTTGCCTTGATTGGCTGACTGAGATGGCTGCACGCGATCTTACAGCAAGTGGCCACAACATGTGGCAGCATTTGCAAGGTTTCTGACCTGCTCTGGATGTGGTGAGGCGGTAGAAAGACCAGCCGCCTTCAACCATCATGGTGTCAGCTTCCCCAGAGATTGGGCCCCTTGTCTCCCAGAAAACGACCCCGCCCATGTGAGACACCAGCAAAACCCGGGTAGACGAGGGGCTGGAAATGGGACACTCCCAACCATAAGTAGCTGCAGGTATCCCGCCTTCTTCATTCTTCACATGGCTCTGGGTCGACCGCTTTACCGGATTTTGAGTTTCTGACTCCTTTGCGGCGTGGATGTTTGCGGCCACCCCTCTCTCGCTCAGGTGCCGACCTTGCGGTGGCCGAGGAGCATAGAGGGGCCAGCAGAACAAAAAAGAACCCGGTGCGGTGAGAAGGGTTTCTCGGGCGAGCGAAAACGGCGCTCAGTTCCACAAAATTTTCTGCCAAATGGCAGACGCCCATTTCCACTGTGGGAGCAGAATCACAAGCGCCCCTTTGTGATGTATTTCGAAATTGCAGAAGCCGCAGGGGAACCATCCATGTGGATGACGTTCGCCTAGCTTTGCCACTTCCAACAAAGCGCAAAATCTCGAGGTCGAGCTTTTGGTTTGGCTTTGCCACCCTCAAGCAAAATGCAATGGCTCAGACTGCTTGGTGCCGAGACACACACAC